TGTATTTTTTATTTGGGATGAGGATTTTAACACTGATAGCTTGTTTACAATTGTGAATGTTTTCTTTCTATTTTTGACTTTTCATTATTCAGAAAAGCACTGGTGGCTACTGAGGGTAAATCAGGTCCTAAAGAGATCAAGACCTGCGAGTATTAGAACAAGAGAAAGAAAACATTTCAGAAATATCTGTTGACCAAGAAACGTAGACTGTTTTCATGTATGTGTAATTAGATTGCATTTATATTTATATGTTTGGATTACATAAAGGAATAGAATGGAATACTTCCTTCCTTCCTTCCTGGCGACCAGGAAGGAAGGCCTAAAGTCAAAATCATTACACTGTTTAAATTGTTTCTTTGTCTTATACCTTTTGTTATTAATATTGTTGCTGTACTATTCATTTTTTTATCTCATTGCTCTTTCCAGTAAATTATTCTTATCTCAACCTTTGCCTTTTGTGTCTGCACCTGGAGGGGGAGGGCAGAGTGAGAAGCGGGGTGGTTTTATTGGGAGCACTAATTGGAGAATACCATTACTAAACCACTACAGAGATCTATCAAAAACTTGAATTAAACTCTAAATGTGATTTGCCCTCTATATGTAGAAGGACCCCTACACTAGCTACCATGAAGGAAATTAACTATCCCAGACAAAACCAGCACAGTCCATTAGAAAGACAGACTGGTACTGAGAATTATTTGAATGGACTATATACATGCTCTGAAAGAAATCTTCTCAAGTTTTAAAAATGCAAACACAAAGTCTTATGTCTAGGATAAAGAAACAGTATGTAACAATGCTCTGGGGTTGGGAGTAGAAAATAGCTGGTATCCAGAAAAATATCTGTTCATCCAGATACACAAGTAAGATGTACCTCTACAGTGTGGCCTTGCAGTAACTAAGGCCAACTACATTCTGATCTATAGGAAGCAGTGACTGCTGCTTCCTATAGCAGTCACTATAGGAAGTGATCCCTCTCTTTGTTAGAGCCCATTGGACTCATTTCCCTATTTTCAGCCTTCCCAGAACAAGAAAGACATGGAGTTATTGTAATAAATCCAATGGAGGACAAATTAAAGATAGAGGAAAAGGCTGTGAGGGAGAACTTATTGCTGTCCTCCTCTACCCAATAGAAGGGTTTAGAGAAAACTGATTCAGAATTTTCTTGAAGGTGTACAGTGCCAGGGTGAGGAGCATAAGACATAAGCTGTACCATGGCAGCTTAACTCAGTTTAAAAAACACCTTTCTTTTACCAAGAGTGGACAGGCATCAGAATAGGAGCCAAGACAGAGCAGGACATTGCCACAGAGATACTAAGAGATACTCCAAACTCAACTGGATATGTCCATGAGCAATTTTCTTTTAAACAGGAGGCTGGACTGGAAACTCGCAGAGATCCCTTCATCCTATATGATTCTGTAATTTGCTGATCCTGTAGCTGTGAGATCAAAAATGGGTTACTCTTACTAAAATTCACATACCATTAACAAACAAAAAAAAATGAGCAAAGAATTTATTGATTAGCCAGGTTTTACCTGTTGACTACTGAGATGATCCTGGCATGTAATTCACAATACTGTTGGAAATCACATACAAGTATTCAGGCTTATGGAGCTTAGCACAGAAGGACATTTGCTCTTGTGCTTGTGGGATTATTATCTATAGAGTAAAATAAACCATGAACTTTCTAATTCATTCCCTTATGACCCAATCCCTATATCTCCAAAACAATACTGTTCTGGTCTTCTTTTTTTTTGATCCTGTGAGTAAATCTCACAGATGTTTCAGAGAGAGGGTCTGAGATTAATCACTGGCACAGTGCAGTCCTCAGAAAACACAGCAATAGGCAGATTCATAGGACAGATAACTCTTTATTCAGTATTTTCTCTCCATGCTTTTCTCCAAGGAACTTCATAATCCTTGTCACAGTCATCAGTGATCCATGGTTTTACAACCCCATGTACTTTCTGCCTGCCTGCCTGGCCTTTCCAGGTGTCAGTGACTCTCTAACCAATGCTCCTAGTTTACTCATGATGACTTTTTTAGATTTGATTGGACAACAGGTGCAGAAACAGGTTTAAAATGCTCTGACCTGCAGGTAAGGGCCTTCTTTGTACTCCCTCTCTGCTGTCTCCTCTCTCCTCTCCCCAGCAGTTTAGCTGTCTCTGTTCAAGGTCAGGACTGATACAATATGGTTGTTTAACCTTGTATTAATTTGATGTGAAACAGCTAAATTGTAAGAAAGTTGTGGGAAACCTCATCTGGAAATTGGTTCAGGACTGAAGTGTTTAAGCTTGATCTCTCTTCTTTTTTCTTGTCTTGCCTGTTCTGCATGTATGCTGTGCCTGGCCTTATATCTTGCTGGCTTTTACTTCATCTTGACTACCTAATTTCCTGGTCTAGATTTCAACCTGTTCCACTGCTATGGACTTGTCTAAATGACATGGGAGTATCATGGCCTTGTTTTGTCCCAGAGCCGAGCTGCAGTGCAAACAGGAGCTGGATGCAGTAAACTATGGCAAACGGGACAATGCAAACAAGACACGAAGGATCTCGGATCAATAACAGGCAATAGAACAACACCTGAAAGCGCTGAAATGATGTAATTGTGGGCTTTCTGATTAGTAGCCTGCACTAATCTGCTGTAGTAAATGTCAGAAGGGAACACTGCTACTCTGTGCAGATACAGGGCACCTGAAGAGAAGTCATCACATGTTTGTGCCAAACTGCTACCCAAGAACCAGTCCAGTTTCCAAGCCAGTGTAAATGTCTCGGGTATTTTAAGACATCCAAAATTACTTTGAACCTTTCCTTTCAGAAAGATAGTCCCCTTTTGTGATAGAGCTAAACATCAAGATCTGCTTAGAACAAAGAACAACTAGACACACCCGGAGGATGATTGAATATTAATTCAAGAATCTAAGTAGAATGAGATGCTTATGCCTGTACAAATGAAATTAACTGCAGTCAGTATATCCAAGGTCCTCTCTGAATGTACGGTCAGGGCACACCCCTACAGGATATGATCACATCTGCCCTGAAACAGAGATGTCTGCAAAGTAAAGAATGCACAATATATTCTGTTTCCATTTGGCTAACATACGAATACTACAGTGTAGTGGTTTGAATCTTGTTTTCCCCCAGAGGCTAAGAAAAAAAGTGGTAAACGCCAAGGGGTGGAAACCCCTGGAAGTTTTGAAGTTTGACCCAATGGGCGCTCCTGCAAAATGTAAACATATCACAAGCACCGGAAGAGAAGAGTTGTAGTTTGGTTGATAGGAGAGGTGACCATGTTGTAGAGCCACGAGGAAGGGGCTCGGAGCCCCTTGGGGCCTCTGGGGCCTCCCAGCCCCTGGCTGGGGGGGGACTGCAGAGACTTGGAACAGTGTTAGACTGGACTAAGTGTCTGTAGTATGCCGGGAGATGTTTTCTCTACTGTGCGTGAGCAGAGACTGCAGCGGCAGACGCAGCATCCAGAGACTCTGGCAGAGAGCCAGGACAGATAAGAACTGAACCGGAGAAGCAGAAGAGATGCAACTGAATAAGGAAGACACTGAGTTGTGTCGGAGAGCCGAGAAGGAGAGTCAGCAGCTGAGAGACAGAGTTCTGGGGGTAAGAACTGTACTACACTCCCCAAACTCCTTTGAGACCTCCTGGAAGGAGGAAGATGATGGACTCTTGCTTGAAAGAGCCTTGAAGTGCGACATGCACTGCAGAAAGGAGCTAGAGAGCTCCAAGAGGAATGCAGAGGGGGGCAACCTTGGCTTTTCCCCCCCCTCGCACTGCTGCCAAGGTGGCAGCCTGAGGCAGTGGCACAGAGGCCCTGCAAGGAGCTTGAATCTCCTGGAGATACCAGACCGTCACGAAGACCCCCCCTGTGTCTTTGTGGTATGACCGTGGTGGAACGACCTTGTCTGGGGTTACGAAGCCCACGGAAGACCCCTTTGCCTGCGTCAAGGGGCCTCGTGAGTGCTGGCAGAAATCCAGCTATCAGCTGCTGCATTCAAGAGAAGGAGAATCTGCTGCCTTAGAAGAGACTCCCGCCTTGAGACTGGAAGCGACCTGTCCTTCTTTCCCTCCTGGACTTTTATTTGGAGGGGAGAAGAGATCTGATCCATTGTAAATACTATATGTCATGGTAGAGATAGTTGTGATTGTGTGTATAATGTGTTATAGTATTTATTTGTACAGTCATTGTAATATATTCCCTTTCCCCCACTTTGAGTCTGGTGTGTTTTGTCTGGAAAAAAACCATCTCACATTAGATTGAGATGAGGGAGGGGGCTTAGACTAGGGAATTGGATTTTTGGGGCTATCTCAAACCATGACATACAGGAAACACTATTACACCATAAAACACTCTGAAGTACTCTGAAGTATTTATTTTCTCAATGATTGCTGGAGCAGGAATCCCTGAGTGGCTACAGTAAACCCACCTTTGTTCACACCCAAGAAAGTTACAGATTTCATAGCAACTTTGTTCCTACCGTGATGCTTAGACAGAATGAATGTGTGAGTGGTTTGTTTGGGTTTTTTTCTTGTTTTCTCTTTGTAATCCTCTGTGGAGAAGAGGAATCAGACAGCTCTGAGACTGCAGACAAAGCAGTCCTATGTGGAATAAGTGGTTTAGATGTGTGAATGGTAAAAGGTAATGTTAGAGGGAAGAACTGTTGCACCGAGGAGGGGCTAAAGCCTGGAGTACTGGGCAAACAGAAGCCTATTTATGAAGATAGCAACTAATTGTAAAGTCACACTGGATTTTAAGGGTAGAGATGCAGAGTAAAAAACTGGAGATCAGAAGAAACAGTTCCAAAAACTCAGATTACCTCCACTGAACAAAATATTCACTGTGTAGTGCAGGGATATAAGGAGTTTGCTAGAATGGGAGTTTTCTGAGCCAAGAGAGCAGAAAGATCATCTCTCTTGGTGTTGAAAATCTTAAATTCATCTGTGTCCTTTCTCTGTTTTTCCTCTCACAGGCATGCGCAGACAGTAATGGATGGAGCCACAGAATGTGACCAATCCTGTAATGGAATTTGTCCTCCTGGGTTTCAACCACAGTCTTAAGATTCAGCAATTCCTCTTCACAGTCTTCTTCATTGTCTACCTGATGACCTGGTTGGGAAACATCACTATCCTCATCACTGTTATCACTGACTTCCACTTGAACACACCCATGTACTTCTTCCTGGCTAACTTAGCATTCACAGATATAACCAAATCATCAGTAAGTACTCCCATTCTATTGTCAGGTCTTGTCTCCCAGCACAAAACTGTTCCATTCAAGGAGTGCATTCTTCACATGTTTTTCTTGCACTTTGTTGGTGGTGCTCAAGTCTTCCTTCTTGCAGTGATGGCAGCTGACCGGTACGTGGCCATACACAAGCCCTTGCAGTACTTGACAATAATGAACTGTGAGGTGTGTTTAGGTCTAGTGGCAGGGTCATGGGCAGGTGGACTCATTCACTCTGCAACGCAGATTGCTCTGCTTCTTCCCTTACCTTACTGTGGACCTAACACTTTGGACAATTTCCACTGTAATGTCCCACAAGTGCTGAAAGTGGTCTGCATTGACACCTACCTGACAGAGCTGCTGATGGTCTCAAATGGTGGACTGATCCTCACAGTAATTCTTGTCTTTCTGCTCCTTTCATACACTGCCATTTTAGTAAAGATAAGGAGGCAAGTCGCAGAAGGAAAGCACAAAGCTTTGTCTACTTGTGTTGCCCAGATAATGGCAATAAGCATAACATTCATTCCAGGAATATTCATCTATGCTCGGCCCTTCAAGACATTTGAACTGGACAAAGTGGCCTCCATCTTTTTCACTGGGTTTGTTTCAGTGCTGAATCCCCTGGTCTACACCTTGAGAAATACTGAAATGAAAAAGGCCATCAGGAGACTTGTTTCTAGGGTTCTGTAAGGGAATAGCTTTACTCCCTGATGAATGGTCGCCCTTATTCTTTGTAACTATTGCAACTTACCATGACTGAAATACCCAAAATTCCAGCAAAGACATTTGCATAAGAGAAACCCTTTTAGAGAACTAAGTCAGAGGAAACTCAACTAAGCTTCCTTTACTTTAAGTGCAGTTTCCACCAATACAGCCTGTGGAGTCAAGGGCAGGTTCCCCTAACACTAAATAAGGTGAGCGGGATATTCTGCTGAAAGACGGTTTTTCACTGTTTTTTGGGAGGTTTGGTTTTTTTGGTCTTTTTTTCAGAAGTAAAGGGATCCTGCTGGCTTTTCAGTGGCATGATTTCTTTTTCTGCTACTATGTCTAATGATGAGTGACTTCTCTTTTTTAATATCAGTCACCTTACATTCTTGTGAGAAAAAAATAAATCTGTTCTACAAAATTATTCTTCTTCAGATCACTTAATTCTTATTGACACAACTCTTAGGGTCTACTACAGGCTGCCTGATCAGGGGGAGCAAGCTGGCAAGGGCTCTTGCTTCAGGATACAGGACTGCATTTGCAGGCTCTCATCCTCATGAGGGATTTCAACTCCCTGGATGAAAAGTTAGTAAAAAATGAGTGAAAAATCTTTGGTTTGGAACTGTTTAATAAGCTGAGAAAAAAAAAGAAAAAAAAAAAAGAAGTGTTGCAAAGCAGTCTCTCCCCAGCAGCAGGCCAATGCTGAGCTATTCTCAGAGCAATGGCTACTTTCAAAAAACTCCCTCCAGTTTCCTTGGCGAGTATGATATCATATGACATAAGATACCTCTTTGAACAATTTGGGTCATCTATCCTGGCTGTGTCTCTTCCAAACTTCTTGCCCACCCCAAGCCTACTTGGGGGTAGGGCAGCAAGAGAAACAGAATGTTTTTGCTATTGCTGTTGATTCTTTTATAATGCATGTTCACTGTTTTATTAGTCAGAAACCACTTTTCCCAAGTAGTTAGTACCTTAAGAGACAGTATTGTCATTTTAGTCACTTGCTAATTATTGTTATTTAAATTTCCTTCTTTTTCAAAAGCAAAAGTCAATTATTAATTTGACAGTATCTGTTTCTCTGGGTTTTTTTCACATTTCTCTGTAAAAGAAAACAACCACACCAAGAAAGGTGAATTTCTCATTTTGAAAGTTGCGATGTTTTATAATCCATTGATTCTTCACCTCTGTGTTCCTCAGTGAGTAGATTATGGGATCAACCATTGGAGCAATGACTGATTTTGAGCAGGATGACTTCTCTCTCAGTTCTGAGGAAATTTCATTCACTTTTCAGTTTTGTACACAGTAAAGTTGACACTTCTCCCCAGAACCAATCTTGCAAAGTTATCACAGCTTTTGCTGCACTCTCAAACACTTCTGCATGACTTTGCCATATGTCTTGGACAATGGCACATTTGAATTCAACATCATATCTGAGTTATGGTTCATGTATTTGGAGCCAAAAACAATCCCCAAACAAAAAAACCACCAAATTTGAGCATATGACAATAACTCTTGTCCTTTAAGATGCTATATATGGTACAGAGGAAGATCAAGCTTAACTTAATGTGATTACAGAGAAGTGAGTGTGAGCTGCCTGGCCACATTTGTTCAGAGGGGAAAAAAAAAGAAACAAACTCCTTAGGAAAGATCTTTCTCTTAGAGGTAAATATGCTGAATCTGGTAGTCCAAGTGAGGTGAGTCTGATGCAGCTCCATGTCCCCAGGTCAAACCAATATCAAGTTCAGTCCAACGAGAATGTAGTAATGCAGCAACTGTGAAGAAAAGAGCAACTACTAAGGAGTTTTACTGTAAGGTAGCTAACAGACATCCATTATAAAAACCACAAAGTGAATTCCATATCTCAGTGCTGCTGAATGCCAAATGATCCAAGGTGGTGTTTCTTCTTTTTGGTACCAATGCAAAGAGACAAAGGAATGAGAAATTTGCCCTATGGAATTTTGTAATCTTAAATATTACATTGGAAATGAACGAAGTATGAATGGAGATATGTGTTTGAAAGCCTCAGGAGAAACTGTAGAAAAAAGACTTATAAAAATATTGTGTTTTAATTGCTTTGTTACATTGCATGTGATTTGATTTAAACAGCCACAGAGCATCATGCAAAAAAAAAAGAAACTGAAGCAGAAAAGATAAAACCAAGATGAAGAACCAGACTGGACCCATAAAATACCTACACAAGAAGCAGAAGGGCAGTGAAATAGCAGGGGTTTGCACACCTCTGGCTTTCACAACAGTGATAACAACCAGAATGTTTGGACACAAGCGTCTTACTAGTTATGGAAGTGTGGAAGCAGAAACAAGTGAAACCTTTGTGAGAATGACTATGAATGAATGAAATCAGGCGTTTAGAACTAATATCACCCTCCCTTTCGAGAAGATTTCACCTTATAGAGTGTTGCATTAATTGCATATATTCCAAGGTCACGTACATGCACCTTGCCATATATCAGTCCTATTTCCACACATTGAATTAAATTTCCTCTAAACCTTCAAATGTAGGGATGGTTTTGAAGTTTGTTCTGAATGGAATAGGCAATTTGGCTTGGTTAATAGCCTGAACCTGAGCTTGCAACATTCAAACTGTAGTTTCCAAATTGAGGTTAAGCAAAAGAAATCTTCACTGCCAATGTGGTTATACTGATCTTTAAAGTCTGTCTCTGCCAGGAAGGTTTAGAGGTGTCATCTGACTTAGTTAACTGACCCTTTTTTCTGGAGAAACAGAGTTAATGAAACTTCATTTACACTTCTACAGACTTTCCTTCTGGGAGTTAATGTATTTGTACTTCTGCCAAAAGATATTTTTGTTTGTTTGTTTTATTCCTTGAAAAGACAATACTGAAAGAAGCCTTTCTTAAAAAAAAAAAAAAAAAAAAAGCAAGCTTAATTGCTCTAATAAAATAACAGTAGTGTAATTAGCCTGAATCACTTTAAGGGACATCGCATTTCAAATGATTCAAGCTTTTAAATTCATGCCTCTTTTAAAGATGTTTCAGACTGCGGTCCAAGAAGAAAGAGACATCCAAAATCATTCATCAGTTTAGCATAAACCTTTTTTATAACTGCTGCAGGGCCCTCCCATCAAAAACTGTCAGCAACTTACCGTGTTTTCTGAACTCATCTCTTCTGCTCCCTATCTCCATATGTCATGTCTGCATGAAAGATACTCCAAATAGAAACTGGCTTGGTAAACAGTGAGACAGGTCTTTGGTTTCTGTAAATCAGAATTTCACACCGAGGAAGGAGCACCGATTTTTGGTATTTTGGAAGGAGCCCTTGATTTTGCTAGAGCTGAGCTCACTTACACCGTCCTCTCTCCTCTATAAAGAAGGGAAGTTCTGGTTAAATTATGCCTTTTAGTGGATCAGAACTACACAAATAGACTAAGGCAGAAGTTTGTGGCTGGGGGCATTTCCCCAACCCCAATATTTGAACTATTGATTTAACATGCCTAATCTGATTTCAAGCTAGTATTAATTTTATATAGTTTTTCTATGCCTCAAAGAGACAGGCATGGGACTCTGTAGGGGACATTCCCATAAGGTTGATCCAAACCCTAGTATACAGTATTGAGATTACATGAGGAAGACAGAGAGATTTTGGTAAATATGTCACAGAACCCAGTACAGGTATTGTCCTCCTCAGAACCACCACGGCACAGATCTTGGAAAGGTGGGAATTTTTTGTCAGGTGCTGCTGTCCCACAGTATTAGGCTTCTCATGAACCAAGATAGTGCCCATATCTGGTTCCTTAGGTGCCTATCAGAAATTAATTTAAACAATTAGTTTCATTCAGAGTTCACAATAAGCTGTAATAGAGCCAAACTCATGTTTTGGACAAAAATAAAGAAGAAACAGAAGTTGCAAAGGCATTTCGTTGGCTCTTCCCCAGCCTTTAAATATTAATGCATATGTATGCAACTATGTATGTTCATCTGGTATGTGTGCACACAACAAACTACACCCAGCATGCTATCCAGAGTAAACAAATGAAATAAGTGTACCATATTTGTGATACCTTAGGTAATGCTTCTAATGAAAACAGTATGAGTTTTGGTTTAAAGGGAGATCTAGTAAAAGAAAAAAGAAAGATAAGTAAAAGATAAGAAAGTTAGTTTCCTTATGTTATGAAGGACATTACCATAGATATTACCATGTCTAAAATATGTTTCACTTACTCTGAATGCATTTTTACGGAAGAACGCATTTTAACAAAAATAATACATTTCAACATTTTCATTCCTTTCTATTATTTTCAGAAGTCTGTGTGAAATAGTATTTAATAACTAATTAATTAACTTTTTTTGACAAAAATGAGCTCTTGACATGCTGCCACAGCTTATGGTTCTGTCAAGATCACCTCCTGCCATGGGAGAACTTGATCTCCTCAAGGAGGCTCTAAGGGAGATCAAGCCTTGAGCCATGGCTGAGTTACAAACTCCCTCAGGCAACCCACAAGTGGGCAAAGTGAACCAGTGAGCATGACCCATGTGAGTTTGGATCATGCAATTCACACATGAATAGCAGGTGGCTATTCAGGTATGAGGATGTGGGTACAAGGAGTCTCATGCACACCCTTCCCTTTGCAGGTAATTTGACTACAATCCAGCCACCTCATTCCATAAATATGGCACTGTGGAATTAATTTCACTTAACTTTAGACACATGGACTGTATATCTTTAGGTGTGACCTACCCATTCTTTGTATGCAGTGAAAAGAAACAAACACCTCTCAGTTCTGATACATCAGATCCTTTGATATAATGTCAGCACAAATTAAAAGAAAAATCATGGGAAAAGAGAGAGAAAGAGAGAAGGAAGGAAGGAAGGAGGGAAGGGAGGAAGGAAGGGAGGAAGGAAGGGAGGGAGGGAGGGAGGAAGGGAGGAAGGAAGGAAGGAAGGAAGGAAGAGAGAGAGAGAGAAAAGAAAAAGAGAGAGGAAGAAAGGAAGAAAGGTAGAAAGAAAGAAAGACAAAAATAAAAATAAAAACATAAACCAAAAGAAAAATATGAAAAAGAAAGAAGAAAAGGAAGGAGGAGCAGCAGCTGAGGGACCTGGGTGTGTTTAGTCTGGAGAAAAGGAGGCTCAGGCGTGACCTCTCCAACTCCCTGACATTGGAATGGGTTGCCCAGGGAGGTGGTGGAGTCACCATCTCCAGATGTGTTTAAGAAAAGACTGGATGTGGCACTTAGTGCTATGGTCTAGTTCACGTGGTGGTGTCTAGTCATAGGTTGAACTCAGTGGATCCAGAGATTTTCAATAAAATGCCCAAGTTAACAGGAATCTAAATTACAGGTTTTCAAGTATTTCATCATTAGGAATTCCCTAACACCAGGAAATGGGAAAAGGGTACGCATTTTAGGCAATCCAAATATGCCCTAAGTTGTTCAAACATTTCTGTAGATTTGCACTGGACTGTAAATGTTTTTTTATTTTCATGATTACTGTCTTTTTTTTCAGGGTTCTGCAGAGTGAAAATGGAATATGAAAACTACGCAGTAGTGACAGAGTTTGTTATTTTGGGATTGTCCCAAACCTGTGAAGTTCAGATTATTCTCTTCCACTCCTTCCTGCTTTTCTATATGATCATTCTGCCAGGCAATGCCATTACCATTTTGCAATTTGAGAGAATTCCCAGCTGAAATCACTCATGTTTTTTTTCCTGGCCAATTTGGCATTCTTGGGTATCTACTACTGTTTTGTGACCCTGCCCAAAATGTTGGCTGCTTTTTTCTCACGCCATAAGACCATCTCCTATGGGCCTGCATGGCCCAGCATTTCTTCCTCCACTTCCTAGGAGCAGCTGAAGCTTTTCTGCTCATGATTATGGCCTTGACCTCCATGCAGCCTCTTTGAGCCTGACCTGTCAGTCAGCTGCTCACCCATCATATTTTGGACTCAGTCCTCATGAAACCTTTTCTGTTGTGTGCTATAAGAATCCAAATATAGCTGCATATGAAGTAGGTATTATTATTATTATTATTATTATTATTATTATTATTATTATTATTATTATTATTATTTGCTTATTCCCTTTCTTAACTCTCCTACCTGTCCTCTGGCAAAAGAAAAGAAGTGCCTTACAAAGAGAGCATCTCCTGTCAGAGGCCACAAGCATCCAGCCTCTCCCACCCTGAGTCTTACTCACTACTCAGTAAAGCGTGCCTTCCAGCTGCATGTCCATCAACGCTGTAAAGGACTTTGCTATCATCTCTGCTCTGTCCCTTCTTGCAATCCTTCCACCTGTCAACTCAGTGCCTTGACCACAGCTTGTTTCCCACACATGGTGCCACCATCCCTCTAAACCCAGCAAGAGGCACCTATACCTGGACAGAAGCATCCCCAATCTGGGATGGTGTCCATGATCAGATTTGATGTACTGGGGAAATTTCTTCACCCAGGGTTGGCTCCATGGTCCTTGAGAAGCATGATCCTTAAGGAGCACAGTTACCACCATTCTGAGCAGCCTCATGCTTTCTGGTGCAGAGTTTCTGTCCCTTTGCACTCCTGTCACACAACTGACCCTGAAAGCAGTCCTTCAGCACTCCTTCAGAAGTGAAAGACAACCAGTCTATGTCACCTAAGAGCTCCTCAGACAACAGACCAGAAGTATTGACATCCGGCTCCTTTGAAGGGGATTTGGTGGCACCTGCAGTGCACAGACCTTCATTATCTCTGGCACCTACTACACAGGCCCTTCGTGGCCTTGTTAGCCTACCATATGAGGCATAAGGACACTTAGCTGTATCTGAGACCCAAAGGACTATGCTAATTCTGAGTTTGAGGTCATTTGTAGGTTGGGTGGCTTGGTGTTCAGCAGCACTTTCTGTGGCAGATCTGAGAAACTTCTAAGTTTTCTCCTCCATACAACATCCTCCATGAGGTGATGTCAGATATTCCTGCAGACAGAATTTTCTCTTCTCTACATCCATCCTGCTCCCCCAGGTCTCTTCCTGGTTCCAGGTGGCCCAGTTTTGGGCCTGATATTTCCTCAAAAGAAAATTTTAGATCTTCTATCAGGATCTACAAATAAATTTTAATTTCTTAGTGATTCAGAAACACCATGGGAGGTCTGCCTCCTCACTTGTCACATTTGTCCTTCTTTAGCATTATGTTCAGAATGCCTGTTCCATGTAGAAGACTCTGGATTTGTAGGAGACCATGATCATGTGAGGATTGCTGAGATGAAACTGGAGGATGGGGCAGAGCAAAGAAGAGGGGAATGGTGTGGGGGCAGAACCTCCATCCCTGAAGCACCCTTGAGCGAGCCCTGGGACAATCTTATCCCCTCAACCAGCTCCATGTTGTCTAATGTGGGACCAGGACGCTTCCTTCCAGGACTGATCCTAAAATCTACACAGTCCATCCAAAGTGAGGATAAGAGAGGGAAAAGGAGTACAATGAACCTATATCTGACTCTACTATAAAGACCCTTTGTAACTATGTGACAAGCAGATATAAAAATCAAGTTTACCAAGCTAGTTTTCTGGTATGCTAACCTAGAGATGAAACTACACTAGATTGCTGAAGAGAAGTGAGACATGCTGGAGTGGAATGCCCAGCTGTGATTTCCACCAGAGAGAACAAGGGCGAGGTTAGGGCCCCTCACATGGTCAGTACCCTGGCTCTAGAAATCACACCATACTGCACATTCCATGGAGGACAAGAAAACATGTGACTGACCTTCCTGAGCTGATGGGAGGTGAATGTTGCCTTCATCTCACACCTAGAAAGTTGCTCACTTACTGAAGGAGAGATGAATAGTTTTCTCATGGAAGCACCAGACCTGATGTCTTTGGATCTGCTGTCTGGTCTGGTTTCTGTATTCCTCCGGAGAGAAATATTTTTCCCAGTGTTCTCCTCATGGCCTTTTTCATCTCAGTGTTTTTCAATGTGTGAGTCATTGGATTTACCATTGGAGAGACCACAGTATAAACAAGGGAGGCCACCTTGTCCCTAGGGAATTTCTTATAAGGTTGGGCATAGATGAAGATGCAGAGGATGAATATTAAGCTCACAACAGTTATCTGGGTTCCACAGGTACACAGGGCTTTCCATTTCCCTTCTGTGGTGCATGTCCTTATCTTAAGCAAGATGTCAGTTTAAGAAATTACAAAAAGAGTAATAATAATCACTCTACTATTAAACACTATCTGTAGTTCAGCCATGAGAGTATCAGTGCAGGCCAGTTTGATGACTTGAGGGACATCACAGTAGAAATTGTCCAGTACATTTGGACCACAAAATAGTAGCTGGAGAAAAAAATCAATCTGTACAACAGAATGAAGAAATCCACTGAACCATGCAGTTGCCACCAATCCTGTGCACATATTCCAGTTCATGATAGACAACTAGCACAGTGGTACATAGATAGCCACATACTGATCAATTGTCATCCCCACAAGGAAAAAAGCTATTGCACCTGCAACGAAACAAAACCCTAACTGGGATCCAAATGATGCAGTACAATATGGGTTGCTAGGACAATATACCCATGAACAATGAAGGCAGATTAGCATACTACCAAGTATGAAAAAACACTATCCTGAAATATCATAACTAATGATAGGCCTTGTTTGGTCCTTTTGATTTTTCATACAAGAAATCCTTGACCTTAAAAAGGAAATAACTGCATTGAATGATAGTTATCCTAGCCAACAGATTTTCTTTCCCTCCCTCCTGCCCAAGTACTACCGATTTCAATTGTGAGGAATGTGCATGTCTTTGTCCATGTTTCTGAGACTGTGCGTGTGTGTGTGTTTCGAACCAATACATGCTCCCTACAGGTAGGTAGGAGAAGAGTGCAAGTATGTGGTTGGAGTCTACATTATGGAATTTGGGAGCTACAGGCTTGTTTTGGATTTCAGCTTCAGATTTACAATTTTTTAAGCTGTGAGAGGGGATGTTTGGGTTAGACTGGGAAATCTATAGGACAGGTAATCACAACATGTTCCTACAATCTCAGAAAATTGTCCCAGTCAAGTCTCAACCATGGTTCAGTGGAAATAAAGAGGTACAAGGAAGGGAAATGACAACTTTTATTAGGAAAACAGCAATGTCTCACAATTTGTGAAAGAATGTGTAAGGTGGACTAACAACGCAAATGGTGCAGAACTATCAGTGGTTCCAAAAACTCCAAATTAAGCTGTCTTTGATACTGTGATGCAACTCAGCAGTCAGCCCAAAGCTAACTGCAAAGCAAGGCACCAGTGCAGATCACTCAGCTTGGCTGGAATGAGACCAAAACCCCAGGATCCATTCAGCCACAGACATCCCACATCCCGGTGCCTGGAGAGATGCACCTATCATACACTGGACTTGCCTGTACAAACTGATACACTTACAGAGGTGCTACTGATTTTAAATGCCTCAGCATCTCCCTGCCTATTGCCTCTGATGAGGCCAGCGATCACAGCCCCTGCACACACACAACCAACCCTTTCAATGCCCAGAGGGGTCATTGCCCCCATGAGCACAGCCCATAGGGAGGCCCATTTGGGCTCCAGCAGGTCAAGGAGGAGTGCAGCTTCTGCCAAAATTCCTGGCAGTGGGGCAGTATCAGGGGATGTGGAAGGAGCATGTCTGCTCATTTAGGGATATCTGGTCAAAGGAGTCATAAACAACACAGAGATAAACCAGACACATGATGGGGAGCCAGACGCCATAAAAACAAACCTGATCAGTCACCTGAAGGGGTAAGGCTGAGAACATTTATTTTTACAGTAGGGAAGGAAAGGGAGGGAAACAAAAGAGAGAAAACCTGACCTATTAACATTAACAAAGCAAATAACCAGAAAAAAATGGCACCATTCACACCAACTGATGAGCTCTCAAGAAGCTATAGGCAGCCAGGACTTTGCAACTAAGGATACAAACTTGAGTAGCCAGGATGTTGGATGTGTTAATTGTTGAGGGAACGGGCAAGGGTAGTGAGCAGCCAAAAGGGGGTTAGACAGAAAAGGGTTATAAGAGGCTGGGTGGGTGTAAAACAGGGCCAGTCAGTGCTGGTCTGACTGAGCTCTACACATGACCACAACGCATCCTGGCTTATTCTATCTTTCCATAACTCTCTGAGCAACCTCACTGTCCCATGTGAGCACTGCAAGGGCTAAGTGCCAGCTACTGGGGAGCTGGCATGCATGGATTTGGGACCAATACTGAAGTCAGATGGGGGAGAGAGGGAGCAGGCACCACAGCCTGTGGTAGCAGCTCTGGGAGCCAGCAGGAACTCGCTCTTGTGTCTTGGGACTTCTGGTACCACCCACGGGATCCAGAGAAGGACCAGAACCTCGACTGGACTGTGACCACCACTCTCAACCAGACTGCGACCATCACTCGCACCAACACGTTTTTCTCCTCTCCTTTTACTTTTGGACTCAGGGGATCACGTGGAGCTCAGCATGGGAGCCAACAAACAACATTCTGTTCGTGCCCCAGGGTGCTGGGTTATACATCTGGGTTTTTGTGGGCTAAAACCAATTGTTCGTCTGTATAATTGTATTTATTGTATTATTTTTATTAAATTGTTATTCTGACTTACAATCTCTTTTGAGTTGGGTTCATTTCCCCTGACGGTTTACCTTTAAACCAGCACAACCACTGAGATTGAGAAAGGCAAAGCAGAAGAGCGTAAGTAGGTTTCTATGTCATCATGAAGGAAAGATGGGGAAAAACTTCCAGTACCATGGAAGAATTACAACAGCTAATAACTACAACCAGTTTCCTGCTGCCACCCACCTCTCGGGGAAGAAGACATTCCACCCCCAGCTACTTTGCCAGCAGTTCACATGCACATTGTGGAAAAAGAAAGATGTGCAATTCCACAGTCACAATCCTTTGAGGGGCTTGTGCCCTTCCCCAAATGCAATGCAGCTAACGCAGACTGCAGATGGCAGTAAGAGGGATGACTCAAACTGGGGGTGCACACAGGGAGACAGATGGGGAAAAGATCGCTCACTCTTTCTGGATGGGGATGGGGAAGTGTCAAGGGGCAGGGCTCCCCTCTTTCACCCAGGCGAGTGCATGTGAGCTCACAAAAACAGGGCCCGGCCCAGCCCAGCCAAGGAAGCCTCAAGCCACAATCTCCTTCAGAGCTCCAGCCAGGTCAGGGAAGATGAAGCAGTAGCCACTCTCCAGGGTGCGTTTCGGCAGCACCCTCTGTCCCTCCAGCAGCATGACAGCCCGCTCTGCCCCAAAGACAGCCCGCACAGCCCAGGCAGGCACTGGCAGCAGGGCCGGGCGCCCCAGGGCTGCAGCAAACTCCCGAGCAAAGGTGCCGTTGGAGGTGGCAGAGGAGGACGGGGCAACACCGTTGAGGACACCTTGCAGGCACTCACTCTCCAGGGCGTGACACACGATCCCAGTCAGGTCCCGAATATGGATCCATGGGAAGGGCTGGAGCCCAGAGCCCAAGGGGCCTCCAAGTCCCAGACGGAAAGGCCAAAGCATTTGAGAGATTGCACCACCACCTCGACCCAGCACTACACCTGTGGGGAGAAGAGAGTGAGACCAGGTCCCCTGCCCAAAACGGCAAAAGCCTCCTTCATGCCCAGACCTACAAGCAGGAGACACTCCTTAGAGGGCTGGATTGGAACAGGACCCCAGCAAGAAGAGACAGAAGAACTGATGGCCTTTTCCCACCTCTTCACACTTCTGCACCAGAACCAATGCAGAGTCACCCTTAACAGGCCCCTCAGGGACCTGATCTCACCTGATCTCACCACAACTCCACGAGTTGGGCTCCCAGGGATGAGAGCTGCAGCCTCCCAGGAGCTCACCAGGCGTGAGAAGAAGTCAAAATTCCCTCCAGGACTGTCCTCAGTATACTCAGCTGTGGGACTGGGGCAGTAATAGCCTGAAGGGTAACAGCAGAAATGGGGTCAGGGTTGAATGATGAGACCAACCCCCCCTTCCCCAATGGACCATCTTCCCTGCCTTCAGGAGCCCAGAACTTCTATGAGAAAAAGCTGAAACAATTGGGATTGTTCAGCTTGGAAAAGAAACGGCTTCGAGGTGACCTACTTGTGGCCTTCCAGTGCCTGAAGGGAGCCGACAAGAAAGTTGAAGAGAGACTACTGACAATGACTGACAAAAGGACAAATGGCTTCAAACAGAGTAGGTTTAGATTGGATACTAGGAAGAAATTCTTCCGTGAGAGTGGGAAGGCACTAGCGCAGGTTGCCCAGAGAAACTGTTGCTGCCCCATCCCTGGAAGCATTCAAGACCAGGTTGGACGGGGCTTGGAGCAACCAGGTCTGATGGAAAGTGTCTCTGTCTATGGCAGAGGGGTGGAACTGGATGGTCTTTAAGGTCCCTTCCAGTCCAAACCATTCTGGGATTCTACGATTCCGTGAACTCCATCACTCCAACCAGGGACATCCCCATATGAACAGCACAGGGCAATGCTGATGAGTTTTTCAACTACCGATGTGCTCTACGAGTTCAGTGGGATACACTAATACTGAGATTGAGCTGGCAGCCCCAAAAACCAAGTAGGCCTGCAGGCAACACACTGAACTGGCTGCACAGAACGGCACCTGCACTAAAATTGGGCATTACAGAAGATAAACTACATCAGCTTTCAAGACTGTAGCAAGCAAAAATGCAAAGCTGGAGATATGCAGAGGCATTCAGCTGAGGTGCTACAAATCGGTTCTACAGGATGCCTAAAGGCTTTCCCAGGAAAACACAGAAAAGGTGCTGTCCTAATGACACCAAGAGAAAGCATACGGACTCAGATTCCTCTTCAGCAGTACCAAAAAGCTGATCAAGGTTTGCCTAAACACAGTGACGTTGATGGCAATAAAGCTGACATTTCAGGGCAAGATGTGTTCCCCTGGAAGCGTGTTTCTGTCTGGAGGTAAAACCTCTCCAGGTCAGCATGAGTCATATCTTGGCCGGGCCCAACCAATACCTACGCCAGTGACGAGGACCCAAGCACGGGGTGGCTGTTCAGCATCAGCAATGGCTTTGGCCAAGGTCTTTGTGGTCTCAACCCGGCTGCTGATGACTTCCCTGCAGAAGGCATCACCCCATCTGGGAAAGGGAGAGCCACAGATTATATTCCTCACAAGGACAACCTAGGAAACAACAGCACCAAGCGGGAACCCGGCAGACACCTGCTCACAAGCACAGGAGGAGTCATGGGAACTCCCCCCACCCCAGAGCAGCGGGAGGACATGTGACCTTATAACCTAAATGCAGGAGAACTTTGGGAGATGGTTGCTCTTCACTTCCCTCAAAACATTGTGAGTTTTGGACTGCCTTAGGACAAAGGCAGCAGAGCAACTGGACAACAGAGATGGTGTTCCTCATAGAAGTCAAACTTTGGTTCTGATTTTGCATTATCAAATGGAGGCATCCAATGTCCTTTCGGAAAAGTAGAACTAATTTTTCTGACTTACAGCTGTAGATTCAGAAAGGAACCTTTCTTCCAAAGGTCTCTCAGGACCTAACAGGCCCACAGAAATGTTTTGGATACTTGAGGATACAGATGTCAACAGTTAGTTAACCCAAGAGCTTCCTGGACATGTTGTTTCCTCCCTTTCCACATTCCCTGACAAGCACCGGACTGTCTTGCCTTCACCTTGTCCCAACAGCACTATGGGAGATCAAGTTACCTGCGGAAAGGGTTGAGTACATTTTCACCAGCCAAGTTGACCACGGCATCACACAGGGGCAGTCCAGTGCGGGACAACTCTTCCTAGGCAGGAGTAACAGAAACATCACATATCAAGCCTCCCCTCTGCTCAAGCCTTCCCAACAACCAAGCAGGGCAGGCTCCTAAGAACTCCAGCCAGTTCCTTCCTGACACTGCCTGGAGCACAAGCATGAATGGAGAAGGTTTTGCTCCTTGGAACTACATCAGTACCCATTCCAATGACTGTGACCCATGGAGCACCCAGGAGCCCAAAAGTACATCCATAGGAGTTAGATTCCCTGCGGCAGATTCCCTCTATGCCATGGCAGGCCAGGGCCAGCGGGCTTGTTCCTCGGCCCTGCCACGGCCCCCTCCTGTGACCGCTCTCATCTCGCACCCAGCTGATCCGATCCTTGCCCCCCTGTCGAGACACGTGGGTCACTTGGTGCCCGCGGCTCCGCAGCAGCTGGGTCAGGGCTCTGCCCACGAAGCCAGTCCCTCCACCTGGGGAGAGACAGATAGGCCGTCACCCAGGATCTGGACCCCGGCTGCGGGGGCATCACTGCGGGCCCAGGGCGCCCCCCCGCCGGGCCCCTCACCATGGGCGGGAGAAGGGGCTGGTTCCCCTTCAAAACTGCGTCGCGATCACAGGGCTGCCCACGCTCACGGTCCCCCCGCACGCTCACGGTGTCCCCGCACGCTCACGGTGTCCCCGCACGCTCACGGTGTCCCCCGCACACTCACTGTCCCCCCTCAGCAAGGCCCCCCCACTCACCCACCACCACCCGCATGGCTGAGCCGCGCATGCGCCTGGCAGCGCCGACGGCGCACGCGCCCTTCCTCCCCCGCAGACAGCGCCCCCCGGCGGAAGGGAGGGGCACTAAAAGGGCCAGCGCCGCAGGGGGCGGGGCCGCTCCCTGGGAACGAGCTGGAAAAGCCGCGTGGAGCGGAGCGGGAGGCACGGGGGAACGGAAAAAAGCCGAGGGGCTGCGCAGCCAAGCGGGAGCACCCCGGCAGCAGGTACAACGCTGAGCTGGGCAGGAGCGGGCAGACGGTAACCCGAGGAGTTCGTCAGAGCAATGAATTAGTTCGTTAAAAGAGCTGAAATAAATGCCTAGAGAAGCTGTGGCTGCCCCATCCCTGGAAGTGTCCAAGGCCAGGTTGAACGGGCTTGGAGCAACATGGTCTAGTGGAAAGTGTTGCTGCCCATAGTAGGGGAGTTGGGTAGGATGACCTTTAAAGGTCCCTTTCAACCCAAACCCATCTGGGATTCTATGATTCTGTCATCCTATTAACTAATTATTAATATTGCTAATCAAAAATGAAGAATTGTGCAGTTGGAAATGAGGCAGGGGCTGTTCTCATTGATGCTGAGCCTCCCTCACCTCTGACACCTTCCTTCCTGCATGTCTCTTCAGGGTCATGGGAAAAGAAATTCCTTCAAGGATGTAATTCTGCCACTGCACTTGAAATGTCTCTTCTGAGATGTGATAAAACACACGTTGGAGACTCAACTTCCCACCTGCAGGCAGCTGGGACAGCCTTTGCTTTCTGACACACAGAAGCCTGTTTTGTCATCTGCTGTTACCCGTGTCCTGTGAAGAGCAGAGGGTGACACCAGCCTGTAAGCAAGATGCATTGGTGGCTGCTCTGAAATAGTAAGAAGTGCTGGAGATATTTCTACCTACCTATCTGCAGCTCAGTCCACCTAATCATCTGTCCCTACCTGTGAACACAGCCATAGTCATTGCTCCACCTCTCTGTCCATCTGTCTTCCTTCCCCCGTAGCCCACTCTGTCATAGTCACAGAATCATTAAGATTAGAAAAGACCTCCAAGATCATCAAGTTTGACCAAATACCACCATGTCAGCTAAATCGTTGCACTAAGTGTCATGTCACTCTTTTCTTTGAACACTTCCAGGGATGGTGACTCCACCACTTCCCTGGGCAGCCCTCAGCTGTCCTTATCCCTCTCACCACCAGCTGTATAAAAGTCGCAGGTCCTGTGGTAAGCAAAGAAGAAACTGGGTTTCTAGGAGGAACCAGCTGGAAATCTGAGACTAGGAGTTATTTGGACAGGAAAAGGCATCCCTGTGGTTCACAGGATGAAAGGTGGAGATGAACACCTGGCTTCTTGTGTGGCATGTACTGGCAGGTGGGTGGGTGAGCAGGAGCTACTCTCCATACACAGCCTCTGTCACAATGGTGATGTTAGCTGGAGGTGCTTGCAGGCTGTATGCACATTCTCCTTCTAACTCCCCTATAAAGTACAGATGGCTGTACCTGAGTGCAGCCTAGTAGGTCCTACAATGTAAACTGTCAAAAAAGGACAGTTTTAAGGGAACTTTGGATATGTCTCAAACTTGTATTTTCCCTCCACATACTTTTATCTCATGGTGTTTCACTGGATAGAACTTCCTAGAAAGACAAAATCCAGCATGCCATTTCTCACTTCCTCCTCACAACTGCACTATATCCATCTAACAAGAAACCTGCCACGAGTCAGTCCCAACCTGTAACAGAGCCCCAGCACCAGCACCTGATGAAGCCCCACACTTCTGCTTCTGTCAAGGGACAAAGCCTGCCCAAAACTGCTGCTCAGACATGTGAGAATCATAGTATCAGAGAATGGTTTGGGTTTGGATTGGAAGTGACCTTCAGAGCCCTGAAGTTTCTGAGAGTGACCTTGTTCAAATCCCTTACCATGGGCAGGGACATCATTCACTAGACCAGGTCGCTCAAAGCCCCATCCAACCTAGCCTTAAACCTTTCCAGTGATGGGGCATCTACAACTTCTCTGGGCAACCTGTGCTAGTGTCTTACCACACTCTTCATAAAAAATTTCTTCCTTACATATTATTTAAATCTGCCTTCTTTCAATTCAAAACTGTACAGTCACCACAGGCTCTCTTAAAAGGTCTTTCTGTCTTACTCGCAAATCCTCCTTATTGAAAGGCTGCAGTAAGGTCTCCCCAGAACTTTCTCTTTTCCAAACTGAACAAGCCCAGCTCTATCAGACTGTCCCCATAGCAGAGGTGCTCCAGCCCTCTGAGCACCTTTGTGGGCTCCTCTGGACTTGCTCCAACAGATCTGTGTCTTTCTCGTTCTGGAGGCCCCAGAGCCTGATGCAGTACACCATGGGGGGTCTCAAGAGCATAGTAGAGGGGGAGCATCACCTCCCTTGACTTGCTGGCTGCACTTCTTTTGACGCAACCCAGGATATGACTGAGTTTCTAGGCTCTAAGTACACATTGCCAGCTCAATTTTTCATCCTCCACTATCCCCAAGTCTTTCTCTGCAAGGCTGCTCTCAATCCATTCATCCCCTGTATTGATATTGGAGATTGTCCCAAGACAAGTGGAGGACTTTGCGCTTGGCATTGCTGAACTTCATATGCCCAGCCCCCCCTCACCAGATGATTCTCTTTTAGTGCTGGAGGGACAAAACAAGCACAGATCCATGCTACAGGATGGGGTTACCTGAAAGCTCTGGACTGCCCCTGACATGCTGCAGTGGTCTCAGTGAGCAGAAGAGAAACAAGAAAGCACAAATGAACTCTTCACAATTTCCCACCTCTTTGGCATACTTAAAGGGGGAGACCAGACTGTGGTAATAACCAGGGTAATGATGGCTTTGGATTTGACAAAACTCTCCTCAGTTGACCTGAGCTGAAGTCATTGACAGCTTTTGTTGCATGTCTCTGTTAGAAAGTGTTAAATAGTGAAAACAATAACCTTCTGGGGAATACATCTGCCTACATCCAGCACTGTGCCCAGGGCTGTCCTCACAGCAGAACTGCTATGTGGAAGGGCCAGGTGCCAGTCAGATCTGGACACCTCCAACAGCTGCAGCAAGTATCCCATTCCCCAGCTAGCTCAGTCAATGGAACGTGAGACTCATAATGTTGGGGTTGTGTGTTCAAGCTACACTTGGAGCACAGAAGAGGACTGTTATGGTTTAACTCCACCTGGCAACTAAGGAACCCGGAACTTGCCACTCCTCCCCACGGGAATGGGAGGGGGAGAATGGGAACAGTAAAAGTGAGAAAACTTGTGGGTTGAGATAAAAACAGTTTAATAATTGAAATGAAATAATAATGCTAAATCATAATGAAAATAACAAAAAGAGAGAAATAAAATACCAGAAACACAATGGTGTTAATGCAAATGAAAACAAATGCTCAACACCAAATTACTGATGCCTGGCCATTCTCCAAGCAGCAGCCAACCTTCCTCCTAGTTTTATTGCTGAACATGCTATCATGTGGTATGGAATATCCCTTTGGTCAGTTGGGGGTCAGTGGAACCAGTTGTATTTCCTCCTAATTTCTTGTGCACCCCCAGTCTCCTCGGTGGTGGGGTGATGTGAGAAGCAGAAAAGGCCTTGTCTCTGTGTAAGCAATAACTGAAACATCCCTGTATGATCAACAGTGTTTTCATCACAAATCCAGAACATAGCACCCTCTGAGCTATTTTGAGGAAAATTAACTCTATCCTAGAGAAAAATAGAACAGTCACAAAGCAGCCTTGGACTAGAAGTCAGGAGTAGTGCACAGACCTGTGTTTGTATGAAAAAAATTAGTGTCCACCTGCTCTAGCCATCCTGCTTGGTACACAGGACCTAAAATGTATGACACGGAGGGATGATGTTCAGTGCTTGTGCCTACCTTATCTCCAGTTGCCCTAGGACAGCTGTGTTGGGCACACCCTTGAGGCTGGAAACCAATGCATTTTCATACCCATTATAATCCAAGAATGAGTCTGGATTTGCACAAGAGAATAAAGATGATCCATTCCTGCTCGCTTCTTGTCAGGGAAGCCTCTGGATTTGCTACGGTGTGAAAGCAAATGTCAGTTCTTCAATATCCATAATAAACGTGTCTAGTATAGAGTTAATTGGTCCTGCCTGCAACCAAGCTAATTTTGAGAAAACCACAATTATACTGCAAGCCCTGCCAGGAGGAAGTTGACACAGTGCTACAGATAAAGAAATATGGTCTTGGCATTGCAATTGGCGAGTCCTAGACTTTGTGTTAGCTCTGCAGACCTCAGGACTTGTCTTGCTCTGCTTGAAGAATGACTTGGAATTATTACCAGGCTTATTTTTGTCATAGGCTTTGTTTTGGGCAATGCAGTGATGCTTATAAGAATGTGAATATGTTTCTGTAACAAGGACATAATAATAATTAGTTATTATTCTTTGTAGACTGAGTTCTCTATCTCCCAGAAATAAAAATGAAATGGAGTGTATTTGGTTTATGTGACAAGGTTTTGGTGACACAAGGACTGCAGAGTGGCCTTTGTGAAAACAGACCAGAGGCTCTCCCCATCTCAGACAGAGACAGTTTCAACTGGCTCCAAAACAGACACATCACTGCCCAAAACTGAGCCCATCGCTGACGCTGGTTGCACCTCTGTCAATAATATATTTAAGAAAGGTTAAAAACACTGCACAGCAGCTGTGTGAAAGAGGGTCGAGAAATGTATGAGAGAAATAGCCCTTTGGACACCAAGGTCAGTGAAAAAGAAGGAAGAGGAGGTGCTGCAGGGATCAAAGAGCAGAGATTCCCCTGCAGCCCATGGAGAGGACCACGGTTTAGTTTCCCCCCAGAGTGCAGCCCATGGAGGTCCATGGTGAAGCAGATACCCGCAGTGCAGGCCATGAAACCACCATTGTTCAGTTGATGTTCACTAAAGAAATGCAGCCTTGTGAACAAGGTTGTGGAGAAACACTAAAAGACAAAGCTCAGCAAGAAGTGTCTGTGTTGGCAATTGTTCAGCGGAAACAAGCTGTCTGCAACCCTAGAAGCAGGAGCCC